TTTCAAATAATTATGAATGTTTTCAAGCTAAAAGAAAACAAAAAAAATCATATTTCAAAAATAAACATGTGTTTATTTAGTATTTCTTTCTCTATAGATTGATTTAAAAAAAAATTCTCTTTATGAATACCTCATCAACAATTTGTCCATAATCCGGTCGTTCGACTCGTTTTGCTTTTAAACATCGATACATTCTAAAATTATATATTAGTATAATGATTTCATAGTAAAATCTTACAATTCTCGAAGAAGTAGTGGAGCATCTGGATCCATTTCTCCAAGATCTATACGTAAATCTCTTATGTCTCCTTCGACATAATTTTCAAGTCTAGCAATTAATTGAGCAGTACTCGCTGCAGCAAATGGTATTTTTCGAGGATGAGTTAAAAATTCAATAAGTATACAACCATAAGACCATACATCAGAATAATTATCAGGTTTAGAAAAACGTAATCGTTGTGGTGCCATCCAACGAAATGCACCTACAGCTTCATCAATTTGACCAGCTAATGATGCATTAATATATCTGTAAAAATTTTTCACTTTATTTTTTTATTTTCATTTAATTTCATTTTTAATCAATATTTACTTCTCAACCATTTGTACCGTACCAAAATCAGATATTTTTGCTATTGTATGATCACGTATAAGTAACACATTATTTGATGATAAATCTCCATGAAGTAATGAGGCATCATGTAATAATTTTACACCACGAGATATATCAGTTAATAATCTAACACCTTGAAACCAATTCATTGGTATATACCTATTATTACCATCATGTAACCAACTATTCAGTGTTCCACCAGCCATATATTCCATAACTAAATAATATGTATGAAAAAAAGAAAGAAAACAAACAATTTATATTCGTATTTTACCAAACATTGCTGGATCTTTACAATAAGCAATAGCTTCAACAACATTTCGATGATGAAAATTTCGTAATTGTTTAAATTCAGACAATGCTTCTTCAAAATCTTCTTTACGTAAAGGAATTTTAATTGCTACTGTTCGACCTCGAAAAGTACCTAATAAAAATAAGAAATAAAAGAAATATTTCTAATTTTAAATTTTTATAATTTAACCTTCAATAACTTTTCCAAAACCACCTTCTCCAAGTTTTCGACCTTGAATAATTTCCTATTAAATAATATTAATTAATGTTTAAATTATAAATCAATCTTATACATACTGATCCTTTAATAACAGGAATTTCTTCTACTTGAAAAGGTTTTTTGGTTTTACGTTTATTTAAATTTTTAATATTGACTTTTGATGGTTTTTTTGACCGTTTAAAATTACCTTTGGATGGCTTTTTAACAATTTTTTTACGGAGTTTCTTTGGTTTATTTTTATGTCCAGTTGGTTTTAAAGTTGTTTTAGATTTTTTTTTATTTGGTTTTGATTTTTTTAAATTTATTTTATTTTTCGAATTTTTTTGAACTAATTTTTTCTTAATACTACGTTTTTTTATTTTATTTTTTGCTTTTTTTATAGCATGTTTTTTTACACCACGACCAACTGATTTTCTTTTAATCTTCTTCTTGTTTTTACCCGAAGATGATGCATGTGTTTTAGGTGATTTGCTAGTTGGTTTATGTTTTTTTCGAGCCATATTAAATGATGAATTTGTTTGTTATTTGAAAATCAATAAGGAATAGAATAAAAGAAAATTTCAGCGCTCAAAAACAAAAACAAAAAAGATAAATATAATTTATTAGAATGACTTTCTACTTGACGACAAAACAAAATTTAGAAGTTGTTAATTATTTCGAAACTATTTGGCAGATATAAAAATTTGACATATGATTTCAAAGAATGGTCGAATTTCTTATTCATTATAGATTTGAACTTTTATATGTAATTGAACTTCGACAAAACCAGTTATATACATAATATTTGTTTCTTTGAAAGTTTCATAGTACGAGATTATTAAAATCGATATGATTAATTCATAGATTAATCACTTCAAGAATTACTAATCGTGGTAATCGATGATTAACATAACTTATCTGATGATATTTCGTCATATTTCTATGTACAAAATTGATTGAATTAAATCAACAAAGATTAACTGGTAAAGATTTTATTTAAATGCTGAATAGAGCGGCTATAATCAACATAACTTTGTATGAATCAATGTTTCATAGAATTTATTTTCTCGTTCAAATCACAGTTCAACTCTCAATGATATTTTCCTGTTATCAGCGAGGAAAACAATATATTCACTATTATAATTTTTCTTTTCACAATGATGATAAAAGACTTGTATCGTTCTTTAACTTCTTAATAGTGTATTTAACCAATATACTAAATGTTTTTTTCGTAAATCTAATTAAATTTTAAATACTTATTGACAAAAATATTACTTGATTATGTTATAATAATGATCTTTATATTTCTCATTTGCATCATTAAATATAAATCCTGTTTAATTCGAATTAAGACTGTTTTTATTATCATTCATACTATCATAAATATGCAAACAACAGTAAATTAGCATAATTTATTTTTCCATCAGTTTTATTCATCATACAAATTTTGATTTTCCAAAAAAGAATGATTTAATTCTAAAACAATTATTTTATTCTCTACTTATATTAAGTTATCAATAATAATTTCATTGTTAAAGAATATATTATACATCAATGATTTCCTATTATTTTTATTTTTTCGACTTTAACATCATCACCAAAGACACACTCTCGAACAGGAAAAAAACTCCATTAGAACGTATTATTATTATTTCTTTTCTTCTAATCACACACAAACATCTTTATCATGTCTGCATTTCAAACAGTGTATGACAAGAAGAAAAAAACAATCCCACACAATTAAACATATCACTAGTAAACGTTAACTAGAGAGTATTATTAATAATGAAGTAAGAAAAAGAAAAAGAAAAAGAACGTAAAAAGAAAACGAGAAATATAAATTTAACTTCTGTACATCAATCCCCTCTCATCTCTTATTTTCATTTTGTTAATAAACATGTTGCTAATGCTAAAGCTTGTGTGAAAACAAAAGGAACGAGAAAAAAAACAAACAAACAAACAGCAACAGCAAAAAAAAAATAATAATGTATAACAAAAAAGAAAAAAAGAGATGATCGGACCATCTCTCATGAATATTAGGAAAATACAGAATAAAGAAAGAAGAAAAAAAAAAGAAAAGAGAAACGATACGTCACAACAATATGAATGCGAGCGCATACTGTAAGAAATCGTAGAAAATTCTGACTAGAGATGAGGAAGGAAGACTGATCGATATTTATTTTCATGGATACATTATATCTTCAATTTTCTTTAATAATTCTTTTGTATATTCAATTGCTTGTTCAGCTTGAGCTAAAATTAAAAACAAAATAATTATTTCATGACTTATTTTCTATCAAAAAAAGCGTTTTTTTTTCTTTCAAATGTGACATCATTCGATACAATTTTTTGTACTGATTTCAGATATGTCCTTATTTCTCTCTTCAAATACTTCTGAAGCAAAAGAACGCGAAAAACTTTTAAAAATCAAGTTTTTTTTTTTTTTTTGAAACTTGTATCTCACTTCATAAGCATTTGTACAAACTGAGTAGACGTCCCAGACGAAGAAAAACATTATATGAAAGTTTCATCGAATTTGAAAATGTGCTGGTATGCACATTAACGACTACACTGAACACGTCTTTTTAGAAAACTCTTACGAGGAAACTATCCGAATTGATACCTGCTGTTCGAGCTTATACTGGATCTACAATGATGTCTTGGTGAGACTCGAAAAATTTGAGAAGGGTTCGTTCCCACGGCTCTTTTAAAGTTGAATTATGATCATTTTACTGAACTTTTAACCTAGATTTATATAATGAAAAATTAAAAACAAGGATTTCGATCTGAAGTTTAGCCCATAAATAGATCGAATGATCCGAAGACTGTTCTGAAAATTTCAGGTGAAAAGAATGTTCCTTTGTCGAGATATTAAATTTTCAAAAAAAAAAAAGAAACGTCATTTATCATAGATATGTCTCAAAAATTAAGTTTTGTTGAAAATTCAATACTTCGACAAAGGAACATTCTTTTCGCCTGAAACTTTCAAGATATTCTAAGAGTCATTAGACTCATCTATGAGCAAAATTTCAGATCGAAATAAATTCAGTAAACATCTAGAGCTGAGTCGAAAATTTAGTAAAACAATCATAACTCGGCTACAAAAGCTCGTGGAGACAAACTCTTTTGGATTTTCGCTATTCTCACCAAGACGCCCTTGTAGACCTAATATGAGTTTAAACACTTGTTATCAGTTTGATTGATTACCTCGTTAATTTGAGAAAGAATGCATAATTTTCAACAGAAAAACTGTTAGAACAAAGATTTTTTATATAGAACGATAGAGTAAAAACTCTACTTTAAGAGTTTGCACGATTTATTCCGTAGATCTTTCTATTTTTTCTAAAATTTCTAGCAAAATTCGACAACTCGGACTGAATTGTTTTGTTTTTCATACATTTTTTTTTTGCTGTTATTATTTTGTTCTAAACATTCATTCTATTAAATTTGAAAACATAAAAAAATAAAATAAACTTACAAACAGTAAATACTTCAGCTGGAATTTTAGCAAATCTTGCTGCATTTGGATACTGCATTCGATTTGGATCTCCAATCCATTTATATAATTTATATCCTATTTCTCTAACGTCATTATCAACACCAATTAATAAACCAGGAATGTCAGCTGTCATATTTTTTCCTGTATCTTTATAATAATGATAAGCTTTTAATGCTTTTTCAGCCGCCTAAGAAAAAAAAAATGACAAAAATAATTCTTTTTTTTTCTGTTTTAATTTTTATCAATTATTTAATTTCATACTCGATAACATTTATAGCAAGCCCAATCATAAGCAGGTTGACTAGTTGGTGAATGCATATCACTATATGCACTTTCAAGATCATGTTGAGCTTGTTTAAGCCATCGATCAGCTTCTGATTGTTGATAATTACGTTTACGACGTGCATTTGGACTTTCTTCTATTATTACAAAAAAAAACGAAAGTTAAATTTTCATTGTTAACAGTGAATATGTCAAATATGTGTATAAAAAAACAAAACAAATGTTGTGCGTGTGCCGATAAAATATGTTAAATAAAGATATAAAGCAAGAAGAGAAGAAAGCTAAAAACTTACTTCCTCCTGTTGTTGATGATGATTGAGCATTAGTACCATTTGTATTATTCGTTGTTGAATTTTCTTCAGTTGTATTAAAAAATCCATGACGTCGTTGAAAACCATGTTGACGACGATATTGCCATTCTTCACGTGCTGTACGAAATGACGATGAACGATGTGGACTAAAACGACTTTTACTTGTATTTCCATTTATATCATTATTATCATTTGTATCTTTATTATTTCCATTAGGTATATCTTGATAACTACGTTTAGTATCATCTTTTGTATCTTTATTTAAATTATCAAAACTACTAAAACGATCATCAGTTGTTGTTGTTGTTGATGATGAATGTTGATGATTTGTTTTATTTGTATTTGAATGTTTATTCCAACTAAATTTTGGATCTGAAGTTGAAAATGGTGATGGATGAAAATTATTAAATGTATTAAAAAATGATGTTAATGGATCATTTTCAAAATGATCAATTTGTTTACGTAAATGTTTAAATACTTCAGCAGCAAAACGTTCACGACCGGGATTTTTATCAGGATGCCATTTTAATAATAATTTTTTAACTGTTTTTTTACGTTCTTGTCCAGTTAATTGATAAGCTTGTCGAACAGCATTATAAATTTCTGTTTTAGTTAATTCTAATTCAGTTTTATCAATAAGATCTTGTTCAGTTGTTTGTGCTGATTCAGATTCGGATTGAGATTCTGATGTTATATTACTTGATGAATCACTATCAGCTGATGTTTGACGATGAGTTTTTGTATTATCAAAACCATTTGTAAAACCTGGATCACTAGTAAAACCTGTACTATCATTTGTTGATTTTCCTGTACGTCGTGATGAAGAAGAATATTTTTCATCATTGTATTTATCTTTATCACCACTACCACTTTTTCCTATAGACGACACACGCACAGTTAGTATATATATAAGATAAAAATAAAGAAAGGAGAGAGAGACCGAATGTCACTACATATGATATATTATAAGAATAAATACGTCATTATACACTAACCGCTAGCATTAAGTTATAAGCATAAGAAATATATTAAAGATTTGCACATAAATATCTCATTCAAATCCTTCTTATTTTGATAAACAATAATAGTGAATTTTTCTTTTTATTTCAAACTTACCTTGTGTATTTGTTGTTGAATTTGATGTTGTTGATGATTTAAATGATTCTCTTTCATCAACAGGTTTTGTATGAACAGCATCAAATATTCTTGACCAATGTTCAAGTACATAAAAATTAGTAGCTTCAATTCTTTCTGTTTCTTGTCCATCATTAATTCGACATATAAATACATATGATGGTATAATTGATGATGAATTCATATTTTTCCATGACCATCGATCATTTTCAATATGTGTAGTATATTCTTTGATAATACTTTCAACTTCACAATAAATATATAAATCATTAACACGATAAACACATAAATCTCCTGGTAATATTTGATGTTGTTCAATATTAAATTTTTGTAATTGTTCAATATCATCACCATAAACATTACCTGGTGATGGTATATATTGTAATTTAAGTATAGATAAAATATTTTCTTCATCAGCAACATTAACTAAATTTAATAATTTTGACATTTGTCCAATTGTTGTTGCTAATAATGCAGCCATAACAGAATTATCTAATTGTAATTCAGATAAACCTAAACACGGACTTAATGCACGTGCTAAACATAATGTAAAATATGGTTGTTCTGTATGTTTCATACTAATATATAATGTAATATTTTCTTCACCTTCCGCAACTAAATAAACAGCTTTTTCATCAACAGATTGATCAACTTTTTGTTGTGTTTTTTTATAAATTAAATTTGTTTCAAGATATTCAACACATGTTACTTTAATAAATGTTAAACGTTGACGAATTAAATTTTCAACATCATCCATTAAAATTATTTTTGGATTTGGTTGTCTTGCAACATGATTTGCTATAACACGTGCCATACAACGATGTAAATGTCTTGATGATAATAATTGATTATATTTTCTTTCAAGATTATAAAGAAAACGTTGACGATGAGATTCTTCATCTTCAGGTATTGTTATTGAAAATGATTCTTCATATTTTTGTGTAAATAATATTGGACGTTGACTAACAAATATTTTATCAATAATATCTTTTACATTTGTTATTGAATTATGTTGTTTTGATGTTGATGATGATATTGAATCAAGTTTAAGAACACGTTCATTTGGATTAAACATAAATTTATCATGAATTAATTTTGTCATATAATCAAGTTTTGTTTTATCATCCATAATAACAATATCACTGGATTTGACTAATTTAAAATCATTCGATACAAGATAAAGACCTAGTAAAAAGAACAAATATACATATCTCAATGTAAAAATGTCGAAGAAGATTATGATATATTACAATATCTGACAGATTAGTTTAAGTTTTTTTTTTCTAAATTTATTATGAAGGTAAAATTCTCTTTGTATTTAAACTTAGATTGAATTAAGACTAAAATATCTGTTCATTACCATTGCACTTTTCTGTTAATATTGACAAGGAAATCATTTCAACCGATCAATAGGTTTTTTTTTAGTCAAAGCTATTAGATTATGGGCTATTGATCATGTTGATACTGAATATGAGTATGAAAAATTTTCTTAGATTTTCGCATATGTTTTATATGTAACTCAATTGATTCTATAATTTGAGCAAATTTACAAATATTTTATCAAAATGTTTATTAGTTTAGAACGTCAACATTTGAAGACCTAAGGATATTTTTCATTCGCATAATTCGAAATCTGCATAGTTGATAAACTACTATCAAATAGGTTAGAAAACGATTGACCTATTAAAAACGTTTCCTCGATTAACCATTTTATCAATAGTATAAGTCATATGCAAGAAGAAAAAAATAATATTATGCCATAATGAAGTCTAAATTATGCATTTCATGTAATAACTTATCAATAATTCTTTATGTCTATTTCCAAACAAAAGTAAATTCTTTTTTTTTTAATTAAGAAATTAATAATAAGTTCATATGCTATAAACATGCAGGTTAAAAAGAATATTGCATGACCCATATGTCGAACATAATTTATCGTTTAACCTTGTACTTCTATCTAGGAATGTGAAGTGTTTGTATAAATATTGACAGTGAGTCATCAAACAAATAGTCCACCTGGATACTAATTGCACTAATATGTACTGAAACGTTAACCTCCGCATTCGCTATAACATTAAAACACCATATGTCATTTTTATAGCTATATCAATATGCATTTGCTATATTGAATTCAGTAATCAGTAAACTAAAATTATGTATCTCTATTTTTATCTATTTCAAAAAAAGAAACACTATCTCGAAACATATATGAAAAAAATTCTGTTTAATATTGAAATCTATTTATATATTCATTTTTACAAAAAAAAAAGACATTCCAATCTTACCAGGTAATTTTGTTTGTGAATTAATACTAGTATTTGTAGATAAATATTTAAAAAAACATTCCATTGCTTTTAAAGATTTACATAATTCATTAGAATTTAAATAATCTTGATCACAAACTTTTGATAATTTTCTTAATATATCACCATATAACATAGGATGTGGTTCAGATTGAACACCAATTTGTAGAAAAAAATCTTTATATTCATAAAAATCTTTATCTAATGAAAATAAAAATGGTGGAATTTCATCTATTATTGGTAAATTTATACAAAAATATTTTCCTTGTAAAAATTGACGACGTGTACGTGAATAAATACATTCTTGATCTTCTAATTCTTTATATATATCTGTTCGACGTTCAAATTTTGTTTCATATTGAAAATAATGATAAATAGTTTTTAAAACAGATATTAATAAATCATCAATATTTTGTTGAGACATTGTTGTTGAAGGAGATTTTATATCACTAAAAAAAAAAAAGGGAAATTTTCGATCAAAAAACAAGAGAAAAACAAATCATCTTAATTAAACGAACTTGATTTTATGATATTTTAATGAAAATTTTTTTGCTAAATTTATTAAATTTTTTTGTACTAATAAATATGTTGGTTTTTTATTTAATTTAAAAAATTCTATTGCATTTTGTTCAATAGGTTCTTTTTTATCATTAATATCATTATATTGTTCAAGACAAATAAATTCTGGTAATAAATATGATGATGTCCAACATAATTTAGCATCTTTTAATAATTCACCATCACTTAATTTAATACATGTATAACGAAGATGATCATTTGTTGTTTCATTTGAATTCATATATTGATCATGTAATTGTAATAAATCATTATGTTCAATATGCATTTGATATGGCTCAAGAAATTTATAATCTAATATAGAATTATCATAACGTGTCCAATTTATTAATAAATGTTCATATAAATATTTTGAACGTTTACGTTGTTCATTTGTCCAACCTTCTTGTTTAACATTAAGTTGAATTGATTCCATTAATTGTTTACATTTATCAGTTGGAATATATGAACGTAAACCACATTCTTTAAGAAATTTTAATATTGTTGGAGTATGAAATTGTTCATCAGGAAAATGATGAATACCTAAAATTGAACGAATATTTTTTATATTTGGATCATATAATTCATAGATTGGACATATTTCTGGTGGATCACGCTAAAAAACATGAAGAAATATTAAAAAAAAAATTAAATGAAATAAAACAAAAATTTTCTATTTTACCGATGATCTTGAGATTCCTGTTGATGTTTTATGTAAATAATCAATATTATTATTTGTTGTTTGTGTAAATATTTCTAAATGATCATGTAATTGTTTTCTACATTGTTCTTTTTCATGTTGAAATAATTTTTCATCAATATCATCAATAAAATATTTTAATAGATTAACTTGGGATTTAACATCTAATTTTTTGAAATGTGGTAAACATAATTGTATAAATATTTCCATATCTGATGGTATTATAAAACGTATATGTGTAAAAATTTTATTTAATTGTTCAATTTTTTTTTGCATTAATAAAACAGTTTTTTTTTCATGAAATTGTTCAGTAAAAAAATTTCTTTTAAATGAACGTCGAATTAAATTTGACCATTCTTCATTTAATATATAAACATGTGCAAATTTTTCTAATGAACAACATTGTTGTATTGGTTGTTGTTTATCATCAGTTGATATAATACCCCAAAGTGGTTTATAAATTTTTAATTCACGTAATTTTTGAAAATTACCTTGATAACCTTGTATTAGAAAATCATTAAAATATTTTAATATAATTATAATATCATCATCAGATAAATTATTTGTTATTTGTGTATATTTATTTGATTCAAGTAGAAATTCTAAAACAATATTTGGATTTGATTCATCCATTGTTTCAACTAATTGTGGATTTATATGTGGATCATCAAGACGTGCTAATATTGATTCTAATTTTTTATTACCAAAAATTTTTGGAAATGAACGTGTAGAATTTGTATTAGTTGTTGTATTATTCATAATATTTTTAGATGAATTATTATTCATAGATGATGTTGATGATATTGTTGCTGTAATTGTTGGAGTTTTACGGGGTTTAACACCGGCCTTGACGCAAACACGTCTATCAACAGATGGATGCACGTAATGTTCGTCTTGTGCAGAGGGAGATGAAGCTGACGCTAAGCAAAAAAAAAAACATATATATATTTATAAAACGAAAATAAATATACCAAAAAAAAAAAAGAAAAAAAAGACAGGTAAGCTAAAAGTAAAAAAACAGTAGATAAACGACAAAAATGAATAAAATTCGATGATGTGATAAATAAGAGAGGAAAAAAAAGAACAAGAAGAAGAAAAAAAAAAGAAAACTCTTTTTTTTCTTTACAGTTTATTCTAGATGGAAATTTGAAGTAAATTGTATGATCACTGCATTTTAGTGGTGTCGATGACATCCTGCCGTTTTGAAGCCGCGTAACAACAGCATATAAAATATACTTCTTTCTTTTCGATGATGTCTTTAAAGGCGGCTAGATTGCAACCACAACAACCAACGCCAATTCTGTGTCGATAGCTTCAGGCACGATAAGATGACAAACAGAATAAAGAGAAGAAATGTATTCTTACTTTCAAATACAACGAGAAAGAAAGTAATAATGATGATGACAAGGCTATAGCAATAATAATGAAAACCACTATTGATCATGTTTGCATGTGTATTGTATATTCAATCAAAAGATTGTAGAAATACATCTCAAAGATGATGATCATCATTATTAGGTATGTTATAGATTTTATATTTTTTTTAATTAACTATCTTCAATGATCTTATATTACATCACATATAACAGTGAAAAAAATATACTATGTGTTATGGATGAAGTACTTCATTTATGAAAAGGAAAAGAAAACAACAAAATGATTTTTTTTTTGTATTCTTAACTTACATATTTGTTCTCGTTCAAATGGATAAAAAAATAAATGTGAACCTGAATGTAGAACACAATCAACATTTGGTAAATATAGATCAATATTTGTATTAAAAATATTTGAATATTGTTCTATTAAAAGTGTATAGATATTTTGTAATAAAGTTAAATCATCTTTATCAATTGGTTTTGTTCCATATTTTTTTTTAATTTGTTCAATTATATTTAAAAGATCTTTACCATCAAGTTGTATTTTAATTTGTAATAAATCTTGAAAAAAATATTTATAACGTTTATGTAATGATATTGGTATAGAATAATAATATGGTTTTAAATGATATGATATTGTTGTTGAAAAACGATTTGGTGATTGCCATAATAATTGTGTTAATGATAAAAATAAATATGTATCTATTGATGATGAATCAGTAAAATAAATAAAACGATGTTGAGAAAAAAATTCTCGTATATCACATATTATTTGTTCTAATTGATTTGATGTCATTGTTGATGAACGATATTCAAATACTTGTTGTTCATTTGTTTGTTGTAATTGAGGAAAACAATATGATTGAATATAATCATATATTGTATAACACATATCTATAATAATCAAAAAAAAACAAAAATTTTTTTTTAAAAAAAAAAAAAAAAGAAAACAATATTTTTTTATATTTACCAAGAATATATTTTGATGTTATTTGATGATTATATGTAACTAAATTTGAATTATTAATAATTGATAATTTTGATATTTCATCAAGTTGTTTAAGTATATCTTTTAATTCAATTTTTGTTGTATCATCAAGTCCAAGAAAATGTTCAACTTGTTTTGTTAATATAATTTGTTCTTGATTATTTTTTGTTTGTTCAGCTATTGGCCATGTTGAACAAATTAATTGTTCATATTGTTGTGATAAAACATCTTTTGGTTTAAATAAACGTTTAGAATATTTATCACCCATCCATGTTAAATTTATTCCATTTAATTCTATTGGACGTGTTTTTATTGGTATAAATGCTAAATCACGTAATTGTAATGATGCACGTGTACGAGCTTCTTTATCATGAAGTAGTTCATGTGTATTAAATATTGATGATGATGATGATGATGATGAACAATTCGATAAATTATTATTTGTTGTTTTATCACGTGATATTGATGTTGTTTGACGTGAACGACGATCTGATGATGTTTCATCATTTTCATCAAGTACTCGAGTAGGATTTGTATTTGACATGGATAACATATCATTAAGAATTTGAAGTAATGCTAATGAACGTTCACGTGCAAGATCATAATCACGCATACGTTGAATTGATTCACAACGTTCAACAAGTTCAGGCCATGTTACAAGATTATCATCACATTTCATACCTAGAAAAAAAATTTTAACAATAAATCGATTAATGTACCATTAAGATTGAATATCAGATAAACTATGTCTATGATTATTAATTGTACATATAACAGAAATAATTCGTATAGATTTATGTTTGTCATAAAAATCTATCTATATTTCTATTCTTTGATATTTTCTACACAAATTATATTCGTTATATTATTAAACTTCCATGAGAGTTGCAATATATTTATAACCTTAACTATTTTCAAGTCTCGTTTTCATTTTCTTTATTGAATAATATCCAAACACACACAAAAAAACGAGAAAATTTCTTATCCGAGTTATTTTTTCAGATAGTCTGAAAGTCGTCTTTTTTCATATTATTAAGTAATAGAGAATAACTTTCAAGTGTTCCGAAAAATTCATACCGTTCAATCAAAGAACCGGAAAAGATCTCTTATTTATAGCATTTATTACTTTTATCATATGACATTAAAAAAAAAGAACTAAAAGTTGTTGTTTCTTTTTTTTTGTGAATAATATTTTTTTCTGAAACACAATAGAAAAGAAATGCTGAAGCATGGAGATACAAATTCTGATCCTTTCAAACCATAATAATCCATGTGATAAAAGTTATTTTGTATATGAACTATTTCCTTATTGTATTTCTAGAGAATTAAATAAAACGATGATGAATAAATTTTTCTCAAAATAAATAGAATAAAATAATCTCTTATGTAACTACATTCTATTTTAAATTTTAATTGTATAGAAAGATTGAACAAACAATTTTTAAAATATGAAACAATTGATTTATCTTACCAAGTAATTTTAAAACATTTAAACGATCTTCTCTTAAATATGAATCTTGTCCACCATATGGAAATAATGAATCAATATCAGAATAAAGTGATGCTAAACGACAATATGGATGTATTAATTTTGATGGTTTATTTAATGTTCGTCCATTCGGTGTACATGGTATACAACAATGTTGTTTTAATATATTTAACATTGTATTATCGGCATGATCTAATGCAAATAAAACTAATGTATCTTTAACATTTTTTGGTAAAACATTTAAATTAGGTAAAAGTAAATCATTATATGCACGATAATGATCATATAAATTTTTTTGATATTCACTACCAGACATTTTACGTATAAAATAATCTTCTTCAGTTAATAATTGAGTTTTTTTTTCTTTTGATATTGTTGTTAATGCTTGTATAACTGTTTCTTTAATATTTGTTTGTTGATTAAATATATCTTTAATAAAAAAAAAAGAAATTAATTTTTTTTATTTTGTTTGTTATTTTATTTTATTTTATTTTTCTTTACCTGTTAAATAAAGATAAACTTTATCATCAGATAAATCAAGTGTACTAGAAAATGTAATACGTGTTTGATCATCATTAATATTTTTTATTTTATGATTTCCTTTTAAATTATATTTTAATTCTAAATCATTAATTAATTGTAATAAACGACGATCTTTTGTATAAGTTTCTTTAATCCATTTAAATAAATTTTCATCAATTGATTGTTGTTGTTGATTACGTAATAAATCTTCTAATTTTGATGCATCAGGTAAATATTTAACACCCATTGATTCAAAAAATTTTCGATAACTATATAATTCATATGGAAGAATTTGTATATATGGTGCTAATGGATGAATTTTATCAATAAGATAAATATGATTTGTTGATGAAAAACCATTTATACCAGTCCATATCCATTCTGTTAAATCACATAAACGCATTTCTTTTAATATATCATTTGGACAATTTAAACATGATAATGTATCATAGAGATGTTTACATACATTTAAATAATCAAATGTTTCATTTTTTTGTTCTTGTGGAGAAAGTTTTTGATAACATAAAACAACACATTTTAATTGTTTTATTAATAAATCAAGTTTTACTTCACGCATATCAAGTAACATACGATTTGTTGTTATTGTTGATGAACGTATTGAAGAATAAAATGATTCAGGAAGATCAAGAGAAGAAATAAGTGCTATGGCACCAATAAGAAATCCATGAGTTTTATCACAAGCTTCACGAGGAGTTACAAAAGAATAACGAGAATCAATTGAACCTATGAGAGCAAAAGTACAAACAAATAAATAAGAAAATATAAATTTTTCGTTGAATAATAATAGAAAATGTACAAAGAAAAATTTTTAGAATATAACTCTTCTACAAGAGTTGACAAATGTGTGAATCAGGATTGATTGCAAATTTATACACAATTCTAATTGTAAGGTTAGGTTCCATCTTAATTGAAGCTCTTCGATAAACTACAACTAATGTCGAAGTTGAAGTCGTAAAATATTTCATCAATAACGACCTGTAGAACTCAAATTTTTTGGACTCATATTTTTCGATCGCATAAAAATTCAGTATGCATTCGACGGATATACTATTATAATAATAAGAGTGATAATGAGATGTAGACAGTACAATAGAAAGTATTAAATATTGTCATAGACTCAGATATCGGGTTAACTTTATTAGGCTTCATCGTTGATGTCTTATTTTCTAGAACACTATTTACTATGGATGTGCACTTTCAATTTACTGACTATCGATCTTGCCGATTCAGTGTAGTTAGTACACATTGACTACACTGGATCAGTGTTCACTGAAGTATTGACACATCCATATAATGTAGATATGTCAGGTAAATCAGTGAACATAGATGTCAATGTAATTCGTAGTGCAGTGGATCCTATGTAGGTGACTCACTGCTCAGTATTTACACCAACATGGCACATTTCTATGATTTACCTTACAATATCTCCTATTATTATGTTCTATTTTGTTTGTAGTATTTTCGTTTCTAGAGAGCCATATGTGATGATACGAACTCATTGTTTGTATTGAAAAAAAGCATCGAACCCTTCTACTCAAATCTATTTTTTGCTTCTCTTAGACACTTCTCGAAATTTTGATTATATCTAAATGGACGTCTATTTCTATAAATTTATATAGTAACTAAATGTCAAATTACATATTAAATTGTCGACTAAATTAGGTCGACCTATTTGCGTAGCATAAAAGACCTTAGTCGATAATTTTAATATGATATGACCTTTTTTTTTTTTGATATGAATATTCTAATAATGAAATATAATTTTTTTTTAATTGATAATAATTTACCTTGCCATGTAAGTGTCAATGGATATCCATGTGGTTTTTCAAGCATAACTGGCATCCATGGTGTATTATTTAAATATTGTCTAAGACTAATTTGTTTTGCTTGAGAATAATCGTCAATTAATTTTTGATTTTGATTAAATATATCAATAATAAAATCAGCTAATAATGACATTAATGAACGTTTATTAGTTGTTGTTAATGATGATTCTTTTATTATTGAATCACATATATCAATTATTTCATCAATTTTAATATCATATAATTGTCGTAATTTAAGATGTTTTAATAAAATTAAATTTTCATTTATTGAACATAATTCAATTGATGGTAAATATTTAATTTCAAATAAAGTTAAATATTTTTCTTTATTATTATTTTGAAATGATGATGGATCAAACATTTGTTGACATGAACAAAGTTCACCTTTACGATTAAGAAATAAACGACATGTTGATAATGTATCTTGACTAACTACATCTGTTAATATTAAATTAGTACAATTTGTTAAAAGCCATTTTCCTAAACGAAATAAAAATTTCAAAAATTTTAATTATTATATTCAAAAATTTGCAACATATGTGCGAATATGTAAATTAAATCAGAATCTAATTCATTTTTCTATATACAATTGAGAAAGAAAAACTTAGCCTTAGATAGATGATACAACTGTTGATATTTATATTATATTTAGTATTAAAAAAATTCAATTCAAACTACCTAAAAATACGGCTTTTTGTTGATCATTTTTTAAATTTGTATTCTTTGAATTTTGTTGTTGCTGCTGTTGTTGTTGTTGTTGTTGTTGTTGTTGTCCAATTGTTGTTATAAGATAACGAGCAACATGTGTAAAATCATGTATAACATAACCTAATTTATCTAATAAAATTCTTGAATCACTATCTGTTACATGAATACATTGTTTTGGTGGTTGTATATCAATTGGTAATTTTGTTCCAGATTCATATATATATAAAATATTATTTAAACTAATATATTTATAATATGGTTGTTGTTGTTGTTGTTGATTTAAATCATTAGCTAAATAAGCATTATCAAATATAGGTAATTGTTTAATACATTGTATATTTGAATCATCTAATTGTTGTGTCATTATTCTTGATAAATATTGTCGTAATAATTTAATATCATGTTCATTTAATAATGTATTAAATTCATGTTGAATTTTAATTTGTGTAAAATGTCTTAAACGACATTTAAATATTTGTAATAAACCTAAACATGATAATTGTGGTACATATTCATCAATTAATTTATGTCGACGTATTATATCAGGAAATGGTTCAATACAAAAAAAATTTAATTTTAATAAAACTTTTTGTATAGCTAAATCATCTTTAGTTGCTGACATAGGTAATTGTATAAGACCAATATTTTTTGATAATTTATATAATGATATTGTATTATTTGATGTTGATACACCTAATGGACGTGATAAGGGTTGTGAATAAAGTATATTTGTATTTTCAAGCATTGTTAAATCATTTGGAAGTTTTTCATTAATATATTTCCAAAGATTTTCAAGCCATACAATATTATAATAATCATGATTTCTAGACCATTGTATACAATCATCACCACGACGCCATTCACGTGGTAACATAACTAAATCTGCAAAATCTTTCGTTGGCATGGTTTGAAGTTGAGTACGATCTATGTATAAAAAAAAGAAAGAAAATGTATGAAGATATATATATATATGTATGATTTGAAGAATAAAACAACAGCTGATGCCTAGTAATTATCTTAGATGAAAAAAAGAATGTACCGTAAGTTAATTCATTAACATAGTTGATTGGTCAGCAAATGTCAATAACATTTTTCTTTTCTTGATCTATCGATTTATTAATCCCAATAGTCTTTCTTTGTCTACCTTTATTCAATACAAGAAAGAAAATATTTCGATGTCTGTCTAGTTCTTTCTTTGCTCTTTTAACATTGTTTGATTAGTAATAAAATTGTGGTTGCAACAGCTGTGTATTCGTGTAGAAGAAAAAAAAAGAATTGTCAATAAAGAGGTCAAGATTGAATAGTGTCCGTTTTCATTACGATGAAATGAAATAAGATCTTTCTTTCTTTTTGAAAAGAGCAAAATGAAATTAAAAAAAAAAAAGGAACAATGAATTCGAGGCAATAATTTATCTTTCTGTCATATTAATTCTTTTGATTAACAATTTTTCTATATTGAAGAATTCAAAAATTCTTATAAAATTACTTATTATTATTTAAAATGAATTTATGCTTTATATTTTTAAATTATCAACCAAGTTTCACTACAATTAAGCTTAATGACATATTACCTTGGTTGAACGATGAAATAAAAAGAGGCTCAAAATTTTATGTACCTGACAATCGACATACATATACATCTTCACCGTCTCATACATATATACATAGATGTCCTTCTCTATAATGAGGAACCTACTACTCATTCATTCATTTTTCTTGTCAAAAAAGAAGTAAAAGAAAGCAATCAGACGTTTGCATGTATATATGATTTCGCCGCTTGAGATTCTATCAACGCTTTCGTTTTCGTTGTAGTCGTCGTCGTCATCATCATCATCATCGTCGTCGTCTCTTATGTGAACATGATAGAAAAAATGTAAGAAGATTAAAGATTGACAATGATATGAGTAAGCAATCAACGAGTAGGATGTTTTGGTTGGACGACGCAATGCAATAGTAGTCTCTATTTATTATTTTTAAGTGCAAGGTCTTATTTAATCAAAAAAAAGCAAGAAAAGATATAGTACGGCATAAATATTCAGCTTAAAGCATATCTTATTCTGGTTTATTGATTCATTAAGAAGTTGGAAAAGAAGAAATTTTCTTTCTATATCGATATATGTATATATAAACCTTGTCAGAATATAATACGAACAATCATTTTTCTTTTTTTTTTTTTTGTTATTACATCTATCAAGGATGAGTAACAGGTTGTTCTTTTTCTCTTTTTCTTTTTTTCTTTCTGTTTTCTACTGACATTTACTCCACATATTTATATTTTATATTGATCAAACAACAAGAAAGAAAAATGTTAGAAATCTTTGAAATATTCATTCATTTCATATATAACACTAAAATTTTCTTTCATTACTAAAGGTTAAAAATTTTCATGTATACAAACAGATAATGATCCTGCTGTTTGTTTCAATAAATAATCCATAGGAAATTTTCTCTGACATACATCTATATATCCATATAGACATATAATGAAAAGAAGAGAGAGAAAAAAAAACATGTTATGAATATTATACAATTTGATGTAGACCTAATTAATGAAACATACAACTGTTCAAGATACACGAACCCTCATCATTTGATTTCGACATTGTTGTAACTATCGGAGTATTTGTAGAAATATTGTGTGATGAATTATAAATGACTGGTCTTGAAGTAATATCCCAAGCTGATAAAAAACGAGGCCGATGATGATTTAATGGACCCACATATGTTGATGAATGTCTTGATGGTGGATTTTGAAGATGTTGATAATAACGAGGAAATATTAATGGAGCTCGATGAAAATAACGACTGGATAATGGTGTTGAACGTTTTATATTACTTGACAAATTACTATTATTAGCAGTATTTGATTTAAGATCATAAGCTTGTGGCATACTTATTGAAGAGGGATATCTTAAGTCCATTGTATCTCTATCCGAATATACAGTATGCATGTGACGTACTTTTGTATTTCAGGCTAGACGATGATCGTAATCATCATACCGAATCTTTACTTTCTTCTCTTCTTTATATGACAAACGCGTGGTAGAGAAGAGAAGTAATAGAAAGTGAGTGATAGTGTATGTACAGGGACATCATTGCAAAAAAGAAGAAAAATACCTGTACATATAAATGTAAAAGAAAAAACGAAACAGAAAGAGCGACCGAGAGAGAGAGAAAGATTGAATGTGTATTCAAGCTACAATCACGGTATGAAGAATGAGAAGGGAGGACGAGTGAGGTAAAAAGAGAACAGCAAAAGAAGAGTATAGGACATATTACAAAGATGAAGAATAATACCATCATCCATTCACTTTTCTCTTCTTCCTATTTACTATCCCTTTTATTAATGGAGGGAGTTTACACCGGTAGAACCATACGATGTAATGTCATAGCATAATGAAGTTGTTATCGAAGCAATCATAGTCGATATTTTTTTACGTAATCTCTTACATACGCATGTTATTTAAGAAAATTGATTGAACGTAAATGTAATAACAACAACAACAACTCACAGCTGAATAAATCTACTTATGTATATCCTTAACTGATTTATTGATTTTATGGGAAAAAAAAAACTTAGATCTATTTACTATGACAGAAGTATATAGATTGCAATAACAAAACTCTTAACAAAATAGTACTAGATTTGTCCCTTTTCGATAAAAAATATGACCTTCACGTAAATGTTTTTTTTTGGTTGAATTAAGTACGTACGTGTATAGTCAAAAAAAAAAAAGAAGGGAAGGCAAAATGTATTCGCTATGTCTACTGATTACCTTGAGTTAAGTTTATTTTTTCAACAAATGACAAATTAAACTGAAGGAAAAAACTGATATAACTGACACATACCATGACGAATATATATAAATTGCTTTTTCTCTATTTTGAATGATGATGATGATGGACAAGTTCGATATACTAATTTTGTTCGATTACTAATATTATTCATTGAAGATGAAATCTTCCAACGAGGTAAGAATTTTTTTGTTTCTTTGAATGGATTATTTGTTAAAGAATTTCGAGCCATTATTCTTAACTAATAAATGTTCAATTGAACAAAACAAAAATACTAACAAACTCTTTATATATATATTACGGGAATAAATGGATTATTACATTCGTCAAGAAATCGGTGAAATGTATCATAGACATTATTCTCATCTATATTGTCCTAGTTTTATGGACAATCCTATTATAATATAGTAAAATAAAACAGATACTTAATGACATAAGACTAAAATTGCCTGATATTTGTTGACGCGTATAAATATTAAATGATCATACTTAACATAAGAAAAAGAAAGTCAATGTATATGATGAGTTGATTTCTTTCTCTATCTACTTGAAAATACAAATAGAATCAATTGTGAGAATCGTAGTATTCGACCTCGATATTGTAATTATTTTTTTTCTTTACCTAATATCTCTATTCTATTGGATGTTTAGATTTTTCTTATGTAGATAAATGCGTCATCAATAAGTCTATCGATGTGTTTATCTAGTAACTGTTGTACTTCGACAAGATATTTATCAGTGTTTATTAGAAAATTTTTCTTGACATTAAGATCAAATGAAGATAATTATTATAAACATTTTTCTTCATTACATATTGGATATTAATGTTGATTTAATACTTACATTCATTGAAGATTTAGAATGTTTAGATTCTTTTGAAAGTATGAATTTTATTACTAGAAGATACTAGACTAATAATGAATGTATTGTGCTTTTTGAGAATCTTCAATGGCGCGAGAAAAATAAAAGACGACAGATTTTCTAATCTACTTAATAGAAAACATACTGCGTACAAGAATTTTTCTCTCATGTCATCTGTTATAAAAGGTAATGAATGTAAAAATTCGAGCGGAATTTTTGTTATTCATTTATATGTGGTTTTGATAGAACTTGATGATTTATTCATAGATGGATTTAATTACTATTGAACTTATAAATAAATTTTCGATTGACTAAGAAAGTAGTACTTTTAATCATGTATTCACTTATTCTACAAAAATTATCAAATTTCAATCAGATTTATTTTTGTACAGTATTTTCAAAATTTTCTTTTTTCATTCAGTATGAAAAATTCAATAGAAAAATTTCTCAAGTATTGATAGCTCTCACATTCGTCCAAGTATGTGTTTTAAAGTATATTCGTAAGTTTAGTTTATTTTTTTTTGACAAAAAATAAGAACAAGTGTCATATTTTATTAGAATGACTCAATTGCGAGACACCAAAGCACTTGTTAAGTTTGCTTTATTTATTATGGAGAGAATTGGTGTTTTCATAACAACAACACATAAAACAATATAAATTTTGCAAAAATGCAGACACACTTAACAGTTTATATCATTATAGTTCGATGTCAGAATAAAATCAATTATGTAATCACAATCAACACACAAACCTATGTTTTCTTAGCAAAACATATCTTTTACAAAAAGAAACATGTGAACTATTCCAATGGGTGTTCACGTTTCATATGTGGTCCCCACGCGATAGACTTTTTTATAAAAGATATATTTTGGTGAGAAAACATATGATCGGACATAGGTTTGTCTGTTAATTACGATTGGATAATTGATTTTATTCTGATATCGAACTATAATGATATAAACTATTAAGTGCGTCTGCATTTTTGCCAAGTTAATATTGTTTTTCATGCTGTCATCATGCGACATAAATTTTCAATAAATTTAACAAGTACTTTGGTGTTTCGTAATTAAGTCATTCTAATAAAATATAACATTTGTTCTTATTTTTTTCAAATAAAATAAACCGAACTTACAAACATACTTTAAAACATATGCTTGGAAAGATGTGAAAACTAACAATACTAGTGAAATTATTCTTCACTTCATTAACATTAAATCTAATCAAATAACACTGTTCTACTCAATTGTACATGCTAAGTGAAAAAAGAAAATTTTGAAAATACTGTAATAAAATAAATCTAATTGAAATTTGATAATTTCTATAGAATGAATGATGAAAAATACTACTTTTGTAGTTATTCAAGTTCGACTATGGACGTTTGCGGTGTTGCTATGTGTGTTTTTTTTTGTGTGGTTGCGTGTGGGAGAATTTGAGTGTGTGAGTCTGTTTATAGTGTAGTTCTCTTTGTGAATGTTGATGTTGGAGTGTTTTTCTGTTTACAAAATTCTCTTACGAGATGCGACCTATCAAATCTGAAACACTCATACTCACAATTTCCAGAGAAAATACTTGATTGTTGATGATGAAAGCTCTTTCGTGTTTTTATTTCATCTATATATTTCTGTTTTCATTTGTTTTTGTGTCAACAATTTCTTGGGTGGTTTAGATTTGAAAAAACTCGTGAGAAATTTTCAAATGGGACGATAGCTATGGACTAGGACTCAATGAAATTAAACTTCTTGTTTTGTTTTCTTCCTCATTGTGAGGAAAAATGGTTATGTATCGAACATAACATGTTGATTTTTTAAACTTTAAGAATAAAAACTTTTGATATGAACGAAATTTCAACAATCTGACTCTATTAAGGTATAGTAGTAGATCGTAGCTATGTTTTGACATCAACTCGAAATCTGTATCCTTAGATTTCTACGAGAAATCTTTGCTTAAATCAAAAAAGAAAGAACCAATTCGTCAAACAATATATGGATGGTTTTCTTCTTCGAGTCTCGTGTCTTTTATATTCTTTAAATAGTTCTTCATAACTTATGTCGAAAACAATATGTGGAATAACATTTTAACGATTTTTTCGTTTTTTTTTTAGGAAAACAAAAGACATTCGATATGATAAGACTAGTTTGTTCCAATGGAACATATACGTTTTATAACTGAATTTCAAACATGAATAATATTCAAAAAACAATTCATGTTTGTGATGAACTATGTCAACAACAAAAAATAAGTAAAGAATTTATTTTGTAAGTGCTTATTAACAAATATTTATTACATATTCTGCTTCTCAGATAAACAGTTGTTAGTTAATGATGGCCTTCATTTCATCGCATTATGTTTAGCGCTTTATATATACATATACCACAGATTCTACTCGAAACGCAGATTTATTAATATTTGGATAAAATACATTCGACAGATATCTCAATTAGACGAGAAAATTTAATATTAAAATCTTTGATCTATGAACTCATGAATTACATCTTTATGATATATATATATACATTCTTCTACTGAATACTCTACCCTTAGAAACACTTAATTACACATTTCTACTCTAAGCTTTCTTTCTTTTTTCTTTGATAGTAAGATTGCATCACGCTTTTCTTTCAGGTAGGTATTCGTTTCTTTTTTTTTTCTTTGTAATATATAATCAAAGACATATATATGTTCAATTTTTTTCGTTTTTATATATATATATATATCAAGTCCAATTAGACTGAATGTGGGTATACAAATTCAAGTGGTAGTCGAGAAAAAAAATGTAAAAAGAACTCTTGAAAATCACTTATGAATCTGACTGTTAATGAAGTATATGGATAGAAAATAGTAAATGTATTACCTTTCAATTTTAAATGAGGAAGTGATAATGAATAGGAAGCTTGTTCTTTGGTTTGATGTATATGTGTTGATAAAGAATAATCATTTAGAGAATTAGTATTGAAATTTTTGGATGAATAAGAATTTCCTGTACAATTCATATTACCCATTCAATTAAATAAGAATTGAAGAAGAAGAAGAAAATATTAAAATATATTTATTTGATTTTGAAAATTAATTTCATATAATAAACAAATAAAAAGTCAAAATCAAACTTTGATATTCATCTTCTTCTTCAATGTCGTCTTGTATTGTATTGTTTATTTGGTAATAATGATAATTGTAATAATATCTTGAAAAAAATCTATTTCTTTTCTTCGTTGTTTGTAGTGGCTTTTTCCTTTT